ACTTATTAAGAATTAAAATTATTAATATAATTAAGATAATATGGTAAATTCATATTTTTTTCATATAAGAAAAAAATCAGATAATAGGTCATATTTTTATGGAATATAACTACCTATATTATTTTTTCTTAATTCTAAAAATAAAAAAAATAAAAAAACAAAAAAGAAAACTAATTGGCACAAGTGTGAGCATGTGCCAAAGGGTTAGTATTAGTGCTAGTTTGGCATTACTTATTTTGGGTGATATGTGATTTTTTAAAAAATTTGAGAAGCACAGCCCGTTTGGTAAACTATAAGAAAATAACTTATTGTTAAAAATTATTGTGAGAAAAAGTTATAACCTTCGTTTGGATGAAGGAATTGAAAATTACATAGAATTCTAAACTGACAGAATTTAGATTTCCATCATTTCAATTTAAGGCAATTGAAAATTTCAGTATTTGAATTTATGTATGTCGAATTTTCTAAACGACAAAATTTTGTAAATGACACTGTGGAAATTGTGAAATGACTCCTATTTTGGTGGAAATTAAATTCGGAATTTAGATACCCCAATTTCCACTATTTTTTCTGCGTGTCATTTAATAAATTCCGTGCTTAAGTTGCCAAATAAAGGAATTGTCAATTTCTCCTCTTAAATTCCCGACTTTTACTTAAATTCCGAGTTATTTTTCCTCATCCAAACGGATTATAAGGGAAAGCAGCTAAGGAAGTGCTTTCATTTTCTAATTATGCAGGAATCAGTTTCAACGTTATGCGGCAATCATTTTCTGATTATGGGGGAATTAGTATCAACAACACTTTTAACAAAAAGTTTACTAAACGCCAAACTGCTTTCTCTTACAGTAAATTTGACAGTGATTATTTTTACAATACATCAATGCCAAACTGGCCCTTAGACTAAACAAACTAATTTTGTAATTACTTAATTATAAAAAAGAAAAACCATTTTGTGTTGTATAACCGGTCGGCTATACTTTTAAAATATTAAGCATAGCCGTACGGCTATACTACACAAAATATTTGAATACATTTAAAGCATATAGCCGTTCGGCTATACTTCTGCAGTATTCGAACAGTATAGCCGCGCGGCTATAACCTTATATTAATATATTTTGAAAGTACAGCCGCCCGGCTATTCTGTTAACATAATCGAATTTTTTAACAAGTATAGCCGCTCGGCTATACATTTTAAATATTAATATATTTTTATATTGTAAAAAATACAAAAATAAGACGCCAAATTAAAGAAGATAAATAAGTGACCGCTCAGAGTTAACTAGAAAAAACCAAAATAAAGATCACTCACGCTTATTGACGATGCATATATAAAAGCGGTTGATCTTTTGTCCTCCCAGTATCTCGTTTATAATTCACGACCGGAGAAAGGCTCACAGTCACTTGCTCTGCGCGCGAGATAAGAGAGAGAGTCTTCGATCTTCTCCGATTCGATTCAAAGATCAGCGAAAATGAACGACGCAGATGTCTCCAAGCAGATCCAGCAGATGGTGAGGTTCATTCGCCAAGAAGCTGAGGAAAAGGCCAACGAGATCTCCGTCTCTTCTGAAGAAGTACGTTTCCTGATTCTCTCACGACTCTCTTCTTTTTCCCCAATTCTTACTTTTCTTCTAACCCTAAATTTCAATTTAATCTCGATCCGTTTTTGTGATTCGTGCGTAATTAAGTTTCTGTACATATATACGGGTATTTAATTATTTGTGCGAATTTGTGTTGTTATTGTAGGAATTCAACATTGAGAAGTTGCAGCTGGTCGAGGCTGAGAAGAAGAAGATCAGGCAAGAGTACGAGAAGAAAGAGAAGCAAGTCGACGTCCGAAAGAAGATGTATAATTACTTAAACCTTCCTAATTTTGTTTATATTTCTCATTCCAACAAGGTCATATCATTGTTTTTCCCTGATGGGCGAAACAATCATTGAGCATTCTGCTGTTAGAAATATATGGATATGTATCAGTAGTACGGTTTCAAATATCAGTTACTGTTAGGTTGAATTTTGAGTTGGAATTAGTAATCGCGGATGTTGACGAATACGATAGTGAGTTTGGAAAGTTGGGAAGTAGTGAAGATGGTGATTTTGTTAACTTTATGGATTTGGTGGAAAATTGAGGAAACTGGTTTGAACATAAGTTAAAAATGAGTTGAATATGTGGTAAATCTTATTGTCATGAGAGGCTTGATGAATTTTAATGTAGCCCAAATTTAGGAGCTTGTATGTATTTGGATTTTGAAAACCATACTTTATGAAGCTAATAGGCTCTAGCTCAAAGGGCATTGGAGTAGGCGGGGAAGGAGTACGACGAGGCTCAAATCTTATTGTAAAGAAATCAGACTGTATGTTCAATCAAATTGAGTTCTTTGTTTCTTCGCTGTTGAATTTGGGTTGTTGGAGGATGGGTTCACTAAGGGAAGCTTTTCCTTTCTTGTTTCCCCTATGGCTATGCAAAAATGGCACATATCTGGGTAACTAACAGTTTGTTTTATCGGTTTGTTGCAGTGAGTACTCTATGCAGCTTAATGCTTCTCGTATTAAAGTTCTTCAAGCTCAAGATGATGTGGTTAACTCCATGAAGGAGGCGGCTTCCAAGGAGCTTCTGAATGTGAGCCAAGATCACCATGGTTATAAAAAGCTTCTGAAAGATCTTATCATTCAGGTTTGTTAAACTTCTTATATGGTATGGTAGACATTGCTAACCTGTCTCACCAGTTTTTATGTGCACCCACATTACTATCATCTAGTGGCAAATTGGCAATGGCTCGAGTTTGAAGTATTATTCATGGTGATGATCCATATCCTTCATTGACAACAGATTACATTTTCTATTCATAACAAATGAGTTCGTGTGATTCCTGACTTCCTGGATGATTTCTAGTTCACTTTAACTTTGTGCACTCTTGCATGGATAAATTAATAATTACCACTAGTTTACTGAAAAATTATGATTTTGGGACACAGAGTTTGCTCAGGCTGAAGGAGCCTGCTGTTTTGTTACGTTGTCGGAAAGAAGACCTACATCTGGTGGAGGCTGTTTCGGGATCAGCAGCACAGGAATATGCAGACAAAGCAAATGTTCATTCACCAGAGATTATAGTGGACACCACTGTCTTTCTTCCACCTGCTCCTACCCATTTTAATCCCCATATTTCTTCCTGGTACGTTACTTTCTGCCCCACAAAATTTTCAGAAGTTTTCAATTAGGACTTGGATATAATATGGCTTGCTATTTAGCTTCTCAAACAGCTCTCTTTTATATATTGAAAGAAAGTGGAATGATGGAACTTGCTGATGATAACTTTTGATTGTTCAGTTCTGGAGGTGTAGTGTTGGCTTCTCGAGATGGGAAGATTGTATGTGAGAACACCCTTGATGCACGGTTGGATGTTGTATTCCGTAAAAAGCTTCCAGAGGTATTTTCCTTGCAAAGTATCAGTTTCCTTTTTATAATTCACTTTTCGCCACTGCGATATTAGGGCTGTAGACTGCTTTATTTATGCTCTCAGGAACTGAGCTTGTATTCTTGTTATTGCAGATCCGCAGAAAGCTCTTTGGTCAGGTTGCTGTGTAATGGGATGAATTGTATGGTTTTCTTTTACCCTGAATTATGTGGCCTTAGAGAGATTAAGGACTGGTCATTGACCACCAAAGAATCTATTGTCAAATTATTTGTTTGTGTATTTCCCATTTTTATTGTGGTCCGAATAACTTTTATATTTGTGCTCTCAAAATAGCTTTAGCTGTTATGCGCTTTGGTGTTCATATCTCGTCTGGGGCATGACAATGAACTCATTCCTGTTGGTGATGATGATTTTAATAAAAGTTTGCAGCTTAGAGTATTTACCGCTTTTTATATCTTGGTTGGTACTACCAGATGGTTTTTTAAAGTTTTTTTAACCTGATGAATCTTAATCATTCTCTTTAAAAGAACAAGTCGGTATGAGATAACACGTGAACTGTCCCGTGAACCATTTCTGCATAATTGCATTTTGTATTATTCAATAATGTTTTGTCGACTTCATTATTGTTTCATGGACCATTATCATTACTTGAAAATTCTGATCTATGGCAGGTGGCTAACAGCCGTTGATGTATTTTGTCATCCCATTGCATCAGCGGCAGCCATCTACACCTACATTTACTAATTGTATGGAAGAAGAAAAAAATAAAAAATAAAAAGTAAATTTCACGTTATAATTCATCCAGTGGAGATTCTAGGATTCGAAAGAAACTTAGGCCCCGTTCGTTTACGTTTTAGAGGCACATTTTCATTTTCAAAAAACAAAAACAAAGCAAAAATGTGTTCGGTTATCCTCTCCTTTTATCCTCTCTATTAATCGCATCTCCATTCTCATTCTTACTTTCATTCTCCCTATTTTCCCTCTATACTCTAACACGGAAAAAAAAAATAAAAAAACTGAAATGATTATCAAATGGATCCTGAATGTTTAAAGCTATTATTCATTTCAGGCACAATAAAAATTACGAGAACAAAACTCCCCAAAATTGATCTCAATTGAGAGAGATAAAACTTAATTTTAATTGAATGGTCCACAGTCCAGTTGTATTAGTAAGCTTCGGATTGATCTTGAGCTTAACTAATTTCTTTTTAATCATAAGTAAGCAGCTATTCGACCAAAAAACAAGAGAGTAAGCGGCTAAATATGAATGAACCTAACATCATGGCCATGAATTTGGATATGGATGATATGTGAGGAAATGAGCATGACAAGAACAAAATGGATATGGATAGTGGATCCACCCAAACACATAATAGAGCCAGCGCTTCAATTCAATCTTCTAAATTTAATTTGTCATTTTAAATAATTTCGTACAAGGACGCAATATGTAATTAAATAATTTTCTTGGGCCTTACTCGAGCCCGAAATTAAATCGGGCCGGAAGTTTCTACTGAAATCAGCCCAATCCAAACTCTCATTTTCGGGTCGGATTGAGAAAAGGGTTATAGACAATCTCACGTTTTTCTCAACGTCTTTGATCTCTAGCTCAAAGGGGCAACCGGCAAAGTGAGCAAAGAAGGCTCACCGACTTAAACTGCTCGTTGCCGAGAAACTGAACCCTGGTTGTCCTGTTAAACCGTAAGCAGAAGCTTCACAAACTCCAACTTTGTATTGCTTTATTTGGCTCTGTTCTGTGTTTCATATATATATGTTTTTTTCCCCACCATTTGATGTGTAATTCTAATAGTTTTCTCGCTGTTTTTATGCTTATTATCTGTTGGGTTTGATTCAGCTTTTGAAAATACTCATTCAGTTTTGCGTGCGTCGGTTATTCTTCAGGAAAAGATTGTATTTTTATTGAAGTTGTTAAACTTTGTTTCAATTTAATTGTTGATTTTGAGGTGAAGTGAACTGGTGGATGGGCAATCTGGGTTTCTCATTGAAGCCTAGTAAGGCTTATTCTGAATAATTCTGTGCTTTGCATGCTCAAGAACGTTAAATTTTTGTCATTTTCTTCCTCTTTCTTAGCAATCAAAGGGAGCATCACTGTGGCTAATGCATTGTTTTCTGTCATTGTCTTTGTCCAACTGTGCAGAGTTTGAAACTTTCAAATAATTTTCTTTTTGGCCTGAAATACTTATGAATGGCGTGGAGAGAGCTTGGCAAAAAGGCAAGTTTTCATTTACTAGTCTCCCATCCTCCCCTGGCCCCCTTTCTATTTGGTTTCATCCCTGCCTTGATTTGTTTTATAATCTTGTCACTTATTCTTGGTTTAGCATTGAACTCTTGGTATTTGATTTCAGGAAAAAAAGAAAACTCTAAAAATGTAATAGTTGGATAATGGAGAATAACTGTAGTTTTGGTTGGTGTGTGTGTGTGTGTGTCTAATATTTATATATTTATATTTCATATATACCATTGGAATCTAGAAGTTTTCATCAGAATTTCTTGTTGCAGGGCATATGTGCCAGTCTAACTACAGATTTAACTTCAAGACTACGAAGACATGGTTTTACTTCTGTATCTACTGTTGATGATATAATAAAATCAATGTCTGCTGCTGTCAGATACACACCAGGTAAATTAAAATTGCACAAGGAAAACCTTTTATGTGATAATTGCAGTTCAAATGATCTCAATAAAGTCTTAATTTTTGTTCAGTTTATTTTTCATAATTACCATTGTAATTCAGTTTCACTCCATAACTCTCTGATCTTGAATCTAGCTCGTTTTGTAATTAATGTGGCTTTTGCTTGCTTTTTGTTTATATTACTTTAACCACACAATTGTACAAGACGATAGTTACATGCTTTGATTTTGAGGGAAAGCAACTACCAAAGTATGGGTGTTTTGTTCACATGTTACATGTTAGAAATCTTTTTGAGTATTAGCCAAACTTAAGAACTATTCTTTATTTATTTTTCATCATTGCTCATATCTTAATTTTTGTAGCGTAGATCCCTTGTTTGTGTCACGGAGGTTTGATTTTAATGAAGCTTTGACAAAAGAGTCCCTGATACGGTAAGTTGATCTTTCTGTTTCTTTGTGGTTACTTGTTTTATTTGTTTTCATTTCAGTTTGCTAATTTCAACCTTTATGATGAAAAATTTCTTGTTTAGATGCTATCATGCGAGCCCAGAACTGTTTGCTAGAAAAGGAAATGACGAGTCATTTGGTTTAAAAACTCCCAAGAAAGAGAAGTTTGTAAAGAGGGACAGTAAGGCCCAGCCTCCTGTTGAAGCTCCATATGTGCCTCCTAAATCACAAAGAACTACCAAATCTATCTCAGATAAGACGATTGAGATTTTTGAAGGCATGACAGTTGTTGAGCTTGCCAAGCGTACTGGTGAATCAATATCCACTCTGCAAGGTATTCTTACAAATGTTGGGGAAAAGGTTGGCACGGAGTTTGATCCTCTCAGCATGGATGTTGCGGAGTTGATTGCAATGGTATTTCACCTTATCAGCATTAAAATAATATATTAATCTCAGTTAATATTTTATTGTACTTGTTAACAATTGTTAGTTTTCAGTTCTCATCAAATACATTGTACACGTGCTTAGAATTGGATTCACCATTTAAAAGTGTTTTTGGAAAATATCCGAGACTGAAATATGCTTATTAATCTCAGTTAATAGAGGGATGACACGCTGTTTGAAACGGGTGGTTTGTTATATGTTTTGCTTCAAATCATTATTGGGAAAGAATCGAAAGATGTGTTCTGTTTTTACAGTTTACAGCACACCAATCAGGTCATGTGACAGCACCCATAGTTGGTCACTATTTTTATTGTATTTCTGCTTGATGAAAAACAAGTGTAATTTACTTGTCTTAGCTCTTACATACTTAGAACTTTCTACTTACTGCTCTTTAGCATTGTTTTCCTTGAATGTCATGTGTTTTCATTATGATATGCATTTTGGCAACTTTAGAAACTTGAATGAGCCATCCATTAATCTGTAGGAAGTTGGGATCAACATTAAGAGGCTGCACTCCAATGAAGGTTCAGAAATTCTACCTCGACCTCCAGTTGTAACTGTCATGGGTCATGTTGACCATGGGAAAACTTCGCTTCTGGATGCTCTACGTCAAACATCTGTGGCTGCCAAGGAAGCTGGAGGAATTACTCAACATCTAGGTGCTTTTGTTGTTGGCATGACCTCAGGAGCATCAATTACATTTCTTGACACCCCTGGTCATGCAGCCTTTAGTGCGATGAGGGCAAGAGGGGCTGCTGTCACAGATATAGTTGTTCTAGTTGTAGCTGCTGATGATGGGGTGATGCCTCAAACTCTTGAAGCCATGGCCCATGCAAAGGCTGCTAATGTACCGATTGTAGTTGCAATTAATAAATGTGATAAACCAGCTGCTAACCCAGAAAGAATAAGGATCCAGCTTGCTTCTGAGGGTTTGATGCTAGAGGATATGGGTGGAGATGTTCAGGTTGTTGAGGTTTCAGCGTTGAAGAAGATTGGATTAGATAACTTGGAGGAGGCTTTGCTTCTCCAGGCTGAAATAATGGATCTGAAAGCTCGAATCGATGGGCCTGCTCATGCTTATGTGGTGGAGGCAAGACTTGATAAGGGGAAGGGTCCATCGGTTACTGCAATAGTGAAAGGAGGGACTTTATTATGTGGGCAGAATGTGGTTGTGGGCTCAGAGTGGGGCAGAATAAGGGCTATTAGGGACATGGCGGGTAAGTTGGTAGAGAAGGCAAGACCCGCAATGCCAATTGAGATTGAAGGGTTGAAGGGACTTCCAAGGGCGGGAGATGATATCATTGTTGTGGAATCTGAGGAGCGAGCTAGAATGCTTAGTGCAGGGAGGAAAAAGAAATTCGAGAAAGATAGACTTATCAAGATTGTTGAAGAGAGGGCTTCTGAGGAGCAAGATAAAAAGCTTAGTGTGGGGAGTAAAAAGAAATTTGAGAAAGGTAGACATATGAAGATTATTGATGAGAGGGCAGAAGCTCAACAACCAGAAGCATCAGAAGAGGAGCCCAAGAGGGTGGAAGTGCCGATAATAGTAAAAGCAGATGTTCAGGGCACTGTCCAAGCTGTTACAGATGCATTACTGAATTTGAATAGTCCTCAGGTATGCCACAAGTTTAGAATGGTCGTGTACCCGACTAAATACTTTCTCTGTAGTTACAAATACTGTTCAAATAATTACTTGTTGCTTTGGTTGATGATGCTTCGTGGGTTTCCATGCAATGTTATGTGCAGTATTCATCTTTTTCATCTTTTCCATTTTTAAAAACATTTTCCTTGCTGAAATATTCCACACTCTAAACTTCTCATTGGTTGGCAATACCTGTACTAAATAATGGGGCATTTAAGAAAAGCTTTGTAGTGTTCTCCATGATTCTCTTCATGCTAACTAATCTTGCCACTCTTTGTTCTTGATAATTCTTCTATTCTTTTCCAGGTCTTTGTGAATGTAGTGCATGTTGGTGTTGGACCTATATATCAGTCTGATTTGGACATGGCAGAAGCCTGTGGTGCATGCATTATTGGATTTAATATAAAAACTCCACCCAGTTCTGTCAGTTTGGCTGCAGCTCGAGCCAGTGTAAAGGTATTGACCTCACTTTTTTCTCATTATCTTCATTTTGTAAGGTATTATGTGGTTGTATCGTATTGGCGGTCATCTGGGTGGTTTGGTTGGAACGGAAATAGATTTAGGGTTGATTTTTGAGGACCACACTTGTCGCGAACTATGGGAGAAAGTTCAATTATGCTCCTCACTATGGGCTTTGACTTCTACAGACTTTATAGATATGTCCTTTAGGAGCTTTTAGCTGGATTGGAATGAAGCCCACTGCTAGCTTTCCAGTCAAAGTTTGTTTTAAGTTTTGTTATTCTGCTAGAAGTTTTTCGTTTTGCTTGGTCTAACCACTATTTCGCTGTTGAGTCTTCTTTTGTGGCCATCTTGGCCACCTTGTTTTATTTTTTTTATAATTGTCTTTTTCCAATAAAATTCTGTTTCCTTAAAAAAAAAAAACTTTTTAAAATTGTCTGAAGGGATGCGCTTTTTCTAACGGTCAATAGGATAGGACTATCTGTTCTGTATGCATTATTGGGCGTGAGCAGTTGGAGTTGAACTTTTATTTAGTTTAGTATGTAAAGCTGGAAAGATTATTATTATTTTTTCCTTTTCAATTTTGTAGATAATGCTGCATCGTGTGATCTATCACCTTCTGGAGGACGTTGGCAATTTTATAGTAGACAAAGCCCCTGGGACTCCTGAGACCAAGGTTGCTGGGGAGGCTGAGGTGCTAAGTATTTTTGAGCTCAAAGGAAGGAGCAAGTCCAAGGGACCTGATGTGAAGATTGCTGGATGTCGGGTGATTGATGGTTTTGTAACTAAGTCGGGAATCTTGAGGCTCCTTAGGAGTGGGGAAGTTGTATTTGAAGGATCATGTGAATCGCTCAAGCGGGAGAAACAGGACGTGGACACAGTAAAGAAGGGGAATGAGTGTGGACTGGTAATCCAGAATTACGATGATTTCCAGGTTGGAGACATGGTCCAATGCTTGGAGCAAGTTATTAGGAAGCCCAAGTTCGTTTCGTCAGAGAGTGGTGCTGCTCGAATAGAGTGCTGATCGTTTTCATGTTAGAAATATGTTAAAGTATGACTTTTAATTTTGATTGTTTACCCCCTCATCTCTCGTTTAGTGGATAAAAAATTTTGTGCCGCTAGTCCCTAAAAGCTGGATTGATGTGGGGTTCATTTGCTCATCCAACCATGTTCTTGAGCAGCTTAGGTTTATTTTTGTAAGCATTCCAATTTTGAGCAGCTTAGGTTTATTATACAACTTATTATGTTGTACCATCGAGGAACCTCTGATACATGTAACAAAGATTGAGGAAAGTAAAGAATTTATTCAACTCCCTACCTCATCTTCGTGTTTCTTAGTTGTTTAAGAGAAGATTGTTGTTGCTGTTCCTATAAGACAGCAATTCAGTGACTATTTTTTCTTGCACATCTTTGATTTTAAGAGAAGATTGTTGCTGTTCCTATAAGATCTTTTAAGAGATCCTCTCTCTGACCAAAACCAAAACAAAATCTCTTTCTGTTTTTGGTTTTTATTTTTAGATTGCAACCAAATCATTTTGCATGCTGAGAAATCAGCTTCTTCATTATTTGACTTTTGGAAACTTCCTGAAAAGCCATTAAACTATTATTATATCTCCACTTGAAAAGAACGGGCTGCCTAACCCCGCTAATGGATGCCCTCTAATCTTTTTCTATATTTATATTAATTAATAAAAGAATTAACATAATAAACAGATATTCTAAGGTGTCATCGCTACATTGCCACGTGATGCTACCATACCAAGTGAGGTGTTATAACATGAGCGTAGGACATGGTTAATATGTCATGATTTTAGGATATAAATACACGTATTGTAGGAAGAGTGGGTTTATACATCACCAGACTGTTTGACTGTCACGAAAGTTTCAATTTGAGTGCCACGTGTCTAAAAATCATGACACAGATACACTGCCAGCTGGTATATCCGATACATGGAATAATGTCTCCTAATTTCGATTGTGTTGAGCTGCGCTTGTGTTATTGCACCACGCATGTTGCATGTGCAATATGCAAATCAAATCACATTAGTCAATAATTTGTTTTTATGTAGTCATCTGCTTTTGCTCTAATAATTTATCACACTATATCCCACTTTGGTCTAGTAGCTTTAAATTTTAATTTTTTTTATTAGAGAATATAATGAATTCAAATTTCAAGCACGACCATCGTTGAATAAAAAAAAGAAAAAAAAAACTCATGAGTATAAGAAGTCTTAGATTTACAAATAGATGTGATGTGAGCTATGATATGAATTGGTGGGTTTTGCACCACTCTTTGAAAGGAATGTCAAAGGAAGTAAAAAGGAGGAAGACAAGCTCTTCTGGTCAATTTTCTGTTATTATTATTATGTATTTTTCATGCTATTTTACAAGTTGATACATATAGCTTCATATGCAGACCAGACTGTTCTGCCTCTGCATAGCTGGTTAGTCTTGTTATTTCAATGGGTTAACATGGTTGGTTCTGGGTTTAACCGTAAGCCTAAAGCAGCCACACCCTCCACATATTGCAATAACAATTTTTGTTTCAATTCTTGCCTTCTTGGTCGCTGTTATTTTTTGCAGTTCATCTAATTGGAAGGCTATTGTCGATGAGGCAGTATCGATTAAGATTGTTTTAAACATTTGTTATTTCCCTGAATCAATACTTTTGCTATTTAGTGCATGTCAGGGATGCATTTTGGCAAAAGATGATCCAGAAATCCATGATGATGATGCTTTCTACACACTTTGTAAGGTGAGGAATCTAATATCAGAGGTGACATAATGACAATGTAACTCCTTTTGCGAAAGCTGGGTTATTTAGTACAATATCATTTTGGTGGTTGAATCCACTAATGAAGAAAGGTAAGCAAAAGATTCTTGAGAGTGAAGATATTCCACACAAGCACGACAGGTTGATCGAGCGCGAACATTGTACTTAACATTTATGGAGCAATTGAACAAAAGGAAGGAAGGAAGGAAGGAGGTTCATCTCGTATGCCTTCTATTTTGTCCATACTTTTTTACTGCACTGATCTAGGTTGTCATGCTGAGTAGTAATCCACTGTTTCTCATCGCCTTCATTAAGGTTGCTCAAGGCGATGAAGCTTTTAAATATGAGAGTTATGCACTGACTCTTGGTCTCTTCATCATGAAAATAGTGGAGTCACTGTTGTCGGAGAGGCAATGGTACTTTAAAACTAGACTGATAGGGCTCCAACCAAGTAAGATCATTGGTATCTGCAGCAATATATCAGAAGCAGCTTCATCAGATATAGTCCCTGTAGAATCTGTATTGGGGAAGACGGAGGCCAACTCTAACAACTGTCCCATGCTTGTATTTCAAAAGGAAGATCACCAACTATAAACAATTACGCGAATTCCAGTGTATCACCATAAATTAAAGGCGATTGAATCAGAAAGAAAAAAAAAAAAAAAAAAAAAGTCTGGGTGGTTTTTCTTGGATATTTTTTTTTCCGCCAATCCATCTGCAACTTTTCCAAGAACTTGAAGCGCACCATTTTGACAACCCATTTGCATTGTTTCCCGAGAGGCTTCCACCCCTGATATAGAGCTTCCTTAGGTTATTCAATTCCCATTGCATCAGCCAATCAGGAATCTTAGAACCAGGGAAGTAATGGAGGTTAAGTTTCACCAAAGGAAGTTTCTCCAAAGGAACAGGAACTGGAGCCATCATCGATGGAGGCTTTTTGGGAGTGTCATAAAGTCTTGACCATGATATAGATAAAGATCGGAGCTTTTTGAACTTTGCCAAAGAAATGAGCTCTCTTTTTGCAGCATCAGACGTTTTGTTTATGTCCACATGGATAGTATGGATACTCAATTTCCTCAGATTTTCCAAGCCTGACAAATCAGCCAGCTTACAGTAGTTGCCTCCAGGCCTTGGCTCACCAATCACAAACCCTTTAAGCACTTGGAGTTGTGAGAGCAAAGCAAGTCCTTTAGGCATGTGGCTGATCAAGTAACACTCATACATATCCAAGTGTGTCAGGTTCTTAAGTACCGAAGCTGTCTCATATTCTTCAACCCTTTTAAGAACTCACTGTCGTCGACTTGATTCGGATACTTGGCTGAGCTCTCCCATCTCCCAAGCTGCAAAACTGCGACGTATTTCATCTCGGAGAATTAGGCTCATTGACATTGATTATACTTTGAACAGTCTCCTGTTTTAGTCGGTATGGCAATTTGCGTACGGAAGACCCTTCTTCAGTTTTTGCAAGGCATGCCCTCCTAGAACAAGTAAAATCTTCGTTGGGATTTCCACTGCTATATCAAAACTGAAGAATCCAGATCTCTTTGCAAGCTTGATCACAGCATAACGGATAGAAGGGTCCAAGCTGCAGCTGTCAGTATTGATATGGCCTATTTTGTTACAATTAAGGTGCAATACAAATGGGCATAGTTTGGTCTCAAGGATTGGATTGGTATGGCCTAGTTTGTTATAATTAAGGTGCAATTCGTGTTGAAATATTAATGTAATCCAAAATAACCCCAATATTCTAACAATTCGTTTATCAAAATAAAAAGGTGCAATTCAATCAATGGTTCTTTGAATTTTGAACATTTGGCACGAACTACGGTTTGCTTAATTGACCCAAATATATTTGCAGTTATACCATGAATATAAGTGCATATATACTGTTTATAGCATTTGGCACGAACTACGGATAGTTCACATGCAACCCTTGGTGCAATGCGCTAGTGAGTAAAATTCGCAGCCCTTTTGTAACCAAGCCTTGCCATTACACCTTGTCAATCCTAGAGGTCATTACCACTCCTATATGGAATTAGCTGTAATGGATAACTTCTTTTGAGTAAGATATTCATGCATGTATATAGCTATAGGGTTTAGCATATAATGTTAATTAAGGGTACACGTGATATGAATAAATAAAAGAATATAAAGCTTGGGCTATGCTCAGCAGCTGATTTGATTTTCAAAGAAGGGTTCTGTGGGGGCAAAAATTACTCAATATATTATCCATTAGCACTCTAAACTTGGGGAAGTGAATGACATGGGTTTAGTTAGTGGGACTTATGACCAAGGCCTACCAAGGCAAACATGTCCTATGCCTATGATCAAAGGCTAGCATGTTTTATGCCACATGGTAAAGCCCACGTGATCATCCACTACCATGCCCATGATGGAGTGATTGTGGATCATGGAGAAAACCATGGAACATGGAATTTGAAGCCCAAGACTCAAATGCCTATAAAATACCAATTAACCTAACAATCCAGAGGGAGGGGAAAATCAGGTACAATTTAGTTCTAACTCTCTTGCGATTACATTCTTACTGATTTAAGTGTCAGAGTGTTTTCTTGCAGGTACCCCCTCCTCCTTTACTGATGTCAATTGAAATGGTGTCCGACTTTTCAACATGAAAATCAAATTATACTTGTTGAAGGACTCAAAATTTCCCGCTCCAACAGTTGAAGCCATCTGTAGGAACCATACGAAAGTCATATTGAGGAGCAATGGACACTGTATAATCGAATGCTCATTTGTGCTCCAATGGGCACACCAATCCATCGATCTGACCTACAATGGGGGCATGAAGACCCCAAAAAGATAAGAATTTCTGTACTCTACCTTTTATGGTTTCACTAATTTGTATTAGATTGTGGTAATTTAATATTGCACTTCTTCGTTCCATAACATAAATATAACCTAAGAAAAGGGACCACCACAATCCTTCAAGGCGCTAGAGTTTTAGTGAAATACGTTTTCACAATTTTCAAGTTGTATGCGGACGTTATCCAAAATTTTTATTGGCGTTGCATATATTCTATAACAAACTTATTGAATTGGGGTGAGGCCCAGACTAAATCCTTTAAAGGAGGGTGTTTCACTCTCACTTGATTATCTACATAGCATAAAACAAGTAGTATCAATTATTTAGTAGACAATTTCCTCTAAATTTTTTTTCACGATTTTCAAGTTCCCTGTCACGTGAAGCATTTCCCAGTTCCTGCTTAAGACTATCAACCTAGAACAACACAGTGTCTCGGCCGCTTCACAGGCTTCGCAGGTCCCCTAATGCCCTTCAAGCTCAACCTCACATTCCTTGACGTGATTCCCGCTGAGCTTGAGGGACGCTGTTTTTTCTCATGTCTCATCGCTCATTGCTTGGAACCTCGCCATTTAGGCATTGTGAAGACCAACCATCTGCAAAACAGAACAAGAAGAAAATAAGCGTTATACAACTAAGAAGCAAGGGCATCACAAACGGACAACATTGGCATACCGCAGTTAGGTAGTGTGATTGATAGCCCCACATCTCCTCATCAATCAAGGCCCT